TGAGTCAGACCAGGCAACATTTGCCTTTCTGTGGCTGACGTGTTACCCTAGCATGTGTGAGAGGCTCGTCCTTGTGGCAGCCTGCATCAGAACCTCACTTCCCTTCAGGGCTGGGGCCCATCGATGTTTTGTTTGTCTACTCCACTTACTGTCTGTTGCTGGGCATTTTTGGATGCTTCCGTCTTTCACCTACTGGGTCACTGGCACCCTTTTTCAAGCACGCTATTTGACTTTTGCTGTTGAGCCATAGTTAATTATTGATAAACTCTGGATATTGAGCCCTTATTGGGAATACACTCTGTGTTAGTCTGGGCACTTTAGAGAAACAAATACACAGAAACTCATATGTATAAGAGAGTTTTATATGAAGGGTAAGTGCACATCAAGAAAACATCCCAACCCAGTGCTGCCCAAGCCCACAAGTCCAACATTAGCCCATATGTCCAGCACCAATCCACAAGGTCCTACTCCATCTCACAAAACACACAGTATGACGCCGACTGCAGGAGGAAAGCTGAATCAGTGAGCGTGTAAGCATCTTAGCGCTCACAGGGGTCTCCACAAGGCTGCTCCAGCATCCAGGGCTGCATTGAGAAGGTCCATGTGGCTTCTCCTCAGGGATGTCTTGCAGGAAGTGAGCCTTGCCAGCTGAAGCAAGGAACTGGCTAAAGCAGATGCACCTTGAGAAACCAAGAGACCCAAGAACTAGAAAGGCGAGGCTCACCGAGCCATTTATCCCCCTGCCTTTCAATAAACCCCACATGTGTTTATCGGCCAGGTTGGTACCATAAACTTTAACTATCTCACACTCCAGAGAGTTTCTCTATTCTGTCAGTTGTCTCTTCACGTTCTCGAACCAAAGCGTTTCGTTTTCATGATGTCTGGTTTATCTATTGTTTTCCCGCCATCGTTACTCATGGGTTTTTGTGTCCTATCCCTGAGACTATTGTTAAAAAACAATGATTTTTGGTTTTGGGTGTGGGTTTTTTTTGGTTTTGGGGTGGGGTTTTTTTTTTGCCTGTTTTCTTCTATGAGTCTTATGACTTTGCTTTTTGGATTTAGTCCCTTGACCCATTTGGGGTGATTTTCAGACGTGGTGTCTGAGGTGGGCCCGGCTTCATTCTTGTGCATGTCTCTTGTGCATGCCGAGGCCTGCCTGTCACGGTGCATGTGTTGAAGAGAGTGAAAATTAAAATTAACTGATCATGGACCTATTCCCAGACTTTTAATTCTGCTCCACTGGTCTACATGTCTCTCGTGATCCCAGTGCCACACTGTTTTCATTACTGCAGCTTTATAGTATGTTTTCAAATCAGGAAATGTGAGTCCTCCTTTGTTCTTCCCTTTCAAAATCAGTTCCCCTATTCAGGGTCCCTTACAAGCCCTGCTGGGTTAGAGACCCAGCTGTGCCATTTATCCTTTCAGCAGTTTGTGAGTGGCTGACAAGTGGCGCGTACAAGTGTTGTCTTTGTCACACTGCATGTTACCTCAGGTTCCTGGGTAAGTGGCCTGTTAGGATGTCATTTCACTGGAACAACTGTGAGGATTTTATTTTCGTTGTTGTATTGAGCGATAATCCATACTGAACACTGTAATCTTTGATCTCCATCAATAAATGCCTCAAATCTCGTTAGCTTTCAGCAAGAAAGGCTGTGTCATCTGCACACCTCAGGTTGTTAATAAGTCTTCCTCCAGTCCTGATGCCATATGCTTCTTCTTCCTCTTCTTTTTCAAAAATCCCTTTATCAGGGGTTCATGCAGCTCTTATCACAATCCATCCATCCATCCATTGTGTCAAGCACATTTGTACATTTGTTGCCATCATCATTTTCAAAACATCTTCTTTCTACTTGACCCCTTGGTATCAGCTCCTCATTTTTTCCCCTTAGTCCCCACTCCCTCCTCACGAACCCTTGATAATTTATAAATTATTATTATTTTTCCATGTTCTTACACTGACCGACTATTCCTTTCACCCACTTTTCTGTTGCACATTCTTCTTCTTAATATGGTCCAGAATCTGTAGCAATGATGAAACATACAACTTTCTTCTACTTCTGTATTGCTCCCCGTCCCCCCTCCCACCCCACTGTCATGATCCCAATTCTGCCTTACAA